AAAAAGGCGGGATTTTCTCGCCTGAGCGAGAATGGGCTCGCTTGAGCGAGAACCTGACGATTTCACTTTAAAATAGAAACCCCAAACACATTTTAGGGTTAGAAATTGAGAGAGAAGAGAGGAGAAGGTGATTTTGAGAGCAAGAACTCGTGGGGATCATCTAGGAGCTTGAGAAGAGGTAAATCTCTTGATTCTAACTCTATTTCTCCATTTCAAACTCGTTTTTGGGTGTATGGATCTCTTCTCATAGTATGAGAAACCATGGAAACTCTTCCTTTAGATTTATGGTTCGTTTTATGTTGTTTTTTTCTTGTAAACTCTTGGTTTAGAGTTGGTATCTGACGAATGGAAAGGTTTTGTGGGTTTATTCATGAAAACCCCAAAACCCCCAAAATGAGAATATGAGTAAAAAGGGAAATGGGTAAAATGTTAAATGTAGAAGATGAGTTGTGCTTTAATGTTGATATATGTGAATCTCTTGTATGTTTGATGATGAAATATGAGTCGTTTATGTGTTATTTTGAATAAATGACTGACATTGTTGTTAATGGTAGGAATGAGGAAAGATCCTAAGGTTTGAGGAGATCGTGGAGGAAACTTTTAAAGTTACTCAAAAACTGACCCCAACACTCACCAAGGTAAGGATAAGTCTTTAACTTGTGCATTTGAAATAGAAAATGTGTGTACTTTCTGGTTGTGCAAAAGACTAAGTTGTGAGTCGCGTATTTAGTATAAATATATATGGGTGTGTTTATACTAATGATGGCGTGGATTTACGGGAAATGATTGATGGTGAAATCAACGAAAAGAAAATTTATTTTTAGCCGACCATGAATGGTTAGCGACTCTGGCTCGAGTATATGTAGCAACACTTCAGCTCGAGTATATGTAGCAACACTCCATCTCGAGTATATGTAGCGACTCCGACTCGAGTATATGTAGCAACACTCCAGCTCGAGTGTATGTAGCAACACTCAGGCTCGAGTATATGTAGCAACACTCCGGCTCGATTTATGTAGCAAACTTTGGCTCAAGTTATGTAGCACGATTTTAAAAAGAAAAGAGAATCTTCTTTTAGCTAACCTTAAGGGTGTAGCGACTTTGGCTCAAGTTATGTAGCATAGAAAATGAATTTAAAAATGGTTTACTAACCCCTTTTAAATGTGGATTATCTTATAATGATGTTTATTGAATTAATGACTTACTCCTTTGTGTGTTTTGTGCTTTTGTCATTGATAATCCCATCGCAGATAGACAGGTAGAATGAGGATGCTCATTTTTGGAAGCTTTAGGAGCTTTAAATTCTGGATTACTTTATTTGCAACTTTTTGTATCATGAGTGCATATTTGAGGATTTTAAGTATTTTGTAATTATGGGTATAATAACTTGTGGATAATTGTAACTCTGGATATTTATAGCTATGGGTAATCTCGGAAATCCATAGCTAGTTGTATGCGGTAGTTCCCGAAATGCATTAATATGAATTATGATTTTCTGTTAAATCGAACGTATGTGAATATGGTGATATGGAATAAGTATGAATAGGAAAGCGGGGTTAAAATAAGCATGTTTTAATGGCGATAGTAAGCATAGGAAAATGCATGTAAAATGAATAAAATAAGGAAATAATTTCAAGGGTGAAATTTGGATCCTTACAATATGGTATCAGAGCATAGTTAATTTTGCGGCCTAGGATATGGCCTTACATGCTTCTTTGTGATCTTTATATGCTTGAATTGCTTAGTTGGCATTGACGGTTGAGTGCTTATGTGATACTTGTCTGGTTAGAAAATTAGTTTACTGACTAGTACATGAGTATAGGTACACATAGCTGAAAGAGGAAGAGGAACGAGTCAAAATGTTCCCAATGATCTGTTGGCACAGCAGGTAGAGGTGCTTCAGGGCATGAATGAGAATTTATAAAATCTGAATCGGAGTGTGGTGCCAGGTCTAGGCTCGCACACCCTATTTTCACAAGGATTGGATGAGTACCGAGAGTTAGATAAATCCTACAGGAGGAACCCTAGTCAGTTCCAAGGCGGATTTGCTCCGAATGCTGCTATTGAGTGGGTCCAAGGAATGGAGTGTACTAACATGAAGGCGGATGAAGTGGCGACCTCCAAATCCCTTCCTCCCAAGAACTTCGGGCCTCAAAGGTACTTTGTGCACGGAAGGGGCAAGGGCAAGATGTTTCACGAAGAATGAAAGCCTTATTTTCCACCTATTGGTATTCGGGGTTATACTTCGCGTGGGCCGAAGACCCATGCAAATGCAGGAGGGTCACAATTAAACTCTCCATCCTGGTGCAACAAGTGTAACAGAAGTCATGTCGGAGAATTGTGTCCTGGAACGACAGATAGCTGCTTTCACTGCAAAAAGACTAGACATATCAAGAGGTACTGTCCTAAGACATGGCATAGTATGAATGCTCTGGGGATTGGACGACCTCAATCCATCGGCAGAGTGGTTACCATGCGTGGTGTAGGGGCATCAAAAGTGGATGGTCTGACCCAGTGTAGGATGTATGAGGAGAAGGTGAATGAAAGCCAACGACCGTATACCCCAATTGATGTCCATCATAACCATGGTTATCAAGGGTCGAAACCTACTATTGGAGGATTCCTACCAGACGTTTTTCCTATGTGCAACAAATGTGAGCGGAAGCATGCGGGAACAATTTGTCCTGGTTCGGGAAATGGTTGTTTCCACTGTAAGGAAAAGGGGCATATAAAGAGGTTTTGTCCGAAGTTGAATCGGAGTGTAAATGTTGTGAAGGCTGGGAGGCTTAGTACAACGGGCCGAGTGAGCACCATGAGTGGCACGGATACGTCCGGTGTTGACAATTTGATCCGAGGTAAACGCATGGTGACAGGTATTCCTTGTTTAGTGTTGTTGATTCGGGAGCGACACACTCCCTTGTATTTGTTAAATGTGTAAACCGGCTGAAACTGCAAACTGAGTCGTTGCCTTTTGACTTGGTCGTATACACCCCAACTAGTGGGCTGACGGTGGTATTGACGTTTATGTTCTAGTGTCCGATTGTAGTAAATGGTAGCATGGTTATAGTAGAATTAATCTGCTTGTCGTTGTCTCAGTAGATTTAAATCTGTAAATGGACTTGTTGTCAGCAAGGGATAGAGCTGACAAGGCTGTGGCGGTTGGGAATCTGTTCGAGATTTCTGACCAGGCTAGTGGTATGGAGCCAGTGTCGGCTAAGGGAGTCAGAACTTCCCTTCAGGAAATTAATCAGTGTTTATTCTGTTGATGTCACCGAAGGATATTTAAGAACTCGTTAGCATTTCGAAAGAATAAGACTTGAAAGAACTATGTATTTTGTCTTGGAAAGTGGATTTTTCTTCTATGAATGACGTTTGATAATGAATGGAATGCTAGTCCTTTGTAACAGTGGTACGAGATATAACATGAAAATTCGTATGTCATGCTATGTGGCTTCCTACATGTTCCTATTTGAGATATGTCGTTGATTATCTTGTCATTCCTCAAGACTAAAAACGAATATGCATGAGGTAAAGATTAACCGATTATGAGACTTGGTGACTAAGTATTTACATCTTTATTGTATGACATGTAATCATGCAAAATTTTAAATTGTAGAAGTCTGCTAACGTGTACTTATCTGTTTTGCCTGGGAATGAACATGTATGTCTTGACCTATTCCTGCATATGAGGTTGTTTGCAATGCATGGGGGTTTAGAAAGTTGAATGAAATGAATAATTTGTGTGTAACACGTTCTGTATAATAATGGAGAAATGTCTCTTTGAGATTAAGTGCTAATGCTTGGTAAATGGTTCCTTGATGCATGAATTAAGAAAATAGTGCGTTAATTATTTCGGTAATAACTTAAAGAGTAAATTAAAAGATTTCTATGAACATGAATGTTGAGTAGCTCAAGTCTTGGCGGGTTAAACGCTAGACAAAATTGTGTTTCAAAAACTGATTGTAGAAAGTGATAATTGAAGTGGAAGAGTTATTTTTGATTCTTGTACCTGAAGCTTTTGGTCTACAATAATGGATTGTTGTGAGAGTTAAGTATTCGCTATAACCAATGTATATTGGTAGTGAACACCAAATTATCTGCATGATATTGTACTTACAAAACTTGTTTCTGTTTCATGTGCGTCGGTAATTGCTAGACATGATTGTAACGTAAACGCATGAGAAAAAGTTTTGTTTTAAAAATTATGTTGAAGCGATTATGTAAACCTTGTTTTCACGACATGGTTGCCATGAATCGCATGTTCAATCCATTTTGAAAATCACTCTTGTGTAAGACGTAGCATGTGGCTAAACATTGATTTAGTATCATGTTGAAGAATCCAATGACTTTAACAATCGTATCTTGATAAATATGATGTTGTTAAAAACTTGGTGATACGATTACGACCATATGACTCGAGTCGTACTGCAAGTGGAGTACTAAATGTATATTTGCAAGTGTAATGGGGGTATCCAGATCTAACGTAGGTTATTGGATGAAACGTTTGTAAATCTGCACTTGTCGATTGGTAACAAAATATTTAATTTTGGGTGAATCAATGGTTTAGTGTGTCCAATTGAGGCTAGGAATCGGTAATTTCTTTCTACTGTAGGGTATGGTGACGGAAATGTTTGATGTAATTGGATAATTACAGGATAGTTTGATTTTGTACGAGGGGAGAGACTCTAAAAGTCTTAGTTGTTTAGATGTTTTTGTTGAGTGACTACCTTGGTTCTATGTGGTAGTGCATGCAATGTTGGGAATGCTAAGGAAAATTTTGGGCAAATAGTGGTTTTGTTTAATGAGTGGAATGAATTTATGCTATTTCCTTGAGTGGAGGTGAAACTAGCTAGTGCATGTTGGATGATAATGATGCATTGTGGCAGATGAGGGGTAAGGAGTTCCCCATTCCCTTGGTTTCGAAAGTGTTATTGGGATTCTCAACGTATGTGGGGATCATCTTGAACGATTGTTAGCTGGATAGATAAATATGTATAATGATCTAAACCACTAACAAATATGTATCTATTCCCAAAATTCATTTTTATGAATTTTGGGAATAGATACTAATACACAAATTAATCATGTGCCAGGAACCAGATTTGAACTGGTGACACGAGGATTTTCAGTCCTCTGCTCTACCAGCTGAGCTATCCCGACCATTCTTGGCGCAGCATCTCCATTTTAAGAGATTACTTGAATATATGTCAATGAATCTATGTCAACTAAATAAAAAAATACTTTTGTATTTTTTAATTTTCTTTTTTTTTCAGTAGTACTAATCATTATGTATTGTTAATCATTAATATGAGACTTGCTTGCTCATTGCTCAAGGATAAGATGTTCGTTTGTAGGTTTGTTTATCATATAATATCAAAAAAAATTGTGTGTTTAATATATATATATATATATATATATATATATATATATATATATATATTATAAACATATTCAAAGACCTGTGTTGTGATTGTTGTAAGGACCCAAATTCTACACTTGAAAATTTTTCTTTTATTTTAATCCTTTATACTCGATTTCCCCTGTTACATCATACATATATCTCCTTTACCCTATTAATTCATCCATTTCTCTAATCATCTAATAAATCTTAATCATACCATTTCAATTTCATACCATGGTTACCCTTAATAACAGAAAAACATAATACATATTAATGCCTCCTGGTAACTACCGCATACAACTAGCTATGGGTTTCCAAAATACCCATAGCTACAAATATCGAGATTTACAATACTCAGAGTTACAATTATCCCAAAATAGCATTTAGTCAGTCATAATACAAAAAGTGCAAAATAAAGGAATCCAGGTTTTAAGCTCTTAAGGCATCAAACCAAGCATCCTCAACTAACTTGTTTGTAACACCCTAAATTTACATCGTTAAAATTATAGTATCAGCCCTGGGATTCTCGCTTGAGCGAGGGATTCTTGCCTGAGGGAGAAAGGCTCACCTAGGAGGGTGAAATCATGGGCTATACTGAAGGATTCTCGCCTGAGCGAGGGTTGGCTCGCTTGAGTGAGAGTGGTCTCACCTGAGCGAGGGTTGGCTCGCCTGGGCGAGAAAGGCTCACATGGGAGGGTGAAATCCTGGGCTATATGGAAGGATTCTCGCCTGAGCGAGAGTTGGCTCGCCTGGGCGAGGAAATGTGATATTTTGGAGCTGTCGAGACTGTAAGATCCTCGCTTGAGCGAGAGATGCCTCGCCAGGGCGAGAGTTCCCTCGCCTGGGCGAGAGGGTCAGATCTAAGTTTTTAAAATGGGAGGGATTTTCTCGCTTGAGCGAGAATGAGCTCGCTGAAGCGAGAACACGACGCTATTACATTAAATAGGGAACCCCAAACACATTTATCAGGGTTTACCTAGAGAGAAGTGAGAGAAGAGGGCTTTTTCAAGAGCAAGAAGGCTTGTGAGTCATTTAGAAGCTTGAGAAGAGGTAAAGCTCTTGATTCTAACTCTATTCTTCCCTTTGAAACTTGTTTTGGGTATGTTGGATCTCTTCTCAAAATGAGAGAAACCATGGAAACTCATCCTTTTGAGTTATGGTTCGTTTTGTGTTGTTTTTATCTTGTAAACTCTTGGTTTAGAGTTAGTATTTCAAGAATGGAAAGGGTTTGTGGGTTGATTCATAAAAACCCCAAAACCCTAAAGTGAAAATGTGGTTAAAGAGGAAAATGAGTAAAATGCTAGAGGTAGAAGAGGAGTTTACTTTCTAATGTTGAAATATGAGATGAATATGCATGTTTTAGATGGTTGTAAACTTAGAATGAAAGTAATTTAGAAACATCGAAAATATGATGAATATCATGTATGGTTAAATAATGCAATATAAAGTTGTTTATGTGATATTTGAAATAAATGACTAATATTGTGTTATATGGTGGGAATGAGGAAAGATCCTAAAGTTGGCGGCGGTGTCGGTGGAACTTGCGAAGTTACCAGGAACCAAACTCAACCCTCACCGTGGTAAGGATAAGTCTTTAACTTATGCATTGTGATGAAAATGCGTGGATGTTTCTGGTTATGGATCATGAAATGAATTGTAAATCACTTAATTGTTATAAGCATATATGGGTATGTTTGTAATGATGATGGTGTGTATTTACTGTTTATGTATTGGTGGAGTGCCAATGGAAATAAAACTCGGAATAATGAAACGAAATGTAAATCAATTAATTGTTATAAGCATATGTGGGTATGTTTGTAATGATGACGGTGTGTATTTACTGTTTATGTATTGGTGGAGTGGAAATGGAAATAAAACTCGGAATAATGAAATGAACTATAAATCACTTAATTGTTATAAGCATATATGGGTATGTTTGTAATGATGATGGTGTGGATTTACTATTTATGTATTGGTGGAGTGCCAATGGAAATAAAACTTGTTTTTAGCCGACAATGATGGGTTAGCAACTTTGGCTCAAGTAATGTAGCAAGCTTTGGCTCAAGCAATGTAGCAAGCTTTGGCTCAAGCAATGTAGCAAGCTGTGGCTCAAGCAATGTAGCAAGCTTTGGCTCAAGCAATGTAGCAAGCTTTGGCTCAAGAAAAGTAGCAAACTTTAGCTCAAGTTATGGAGCATGTTTTCAAAGGTATAAACAAAGGAAATGGTTTTAAGTATATTTAATTCTAAATTTTTACTTAACTTTATTAAAATGTGGATTAACGTATATTGACAATACTTTATGGTAACGACTTACTCCTTTGTGTTTCTATGAATGGTCAATGTTAATCCCATTGCAGGTAGGTGGAAGATGTAAGGACGTTTGATTAGGAGCATAGAGGCTTTTAATTCGTTTTTGGAAGTCCTTATATTCATTCTTTTGTAATATGACTAACTGTATTTTGAACATGAATATTTGTAACTCTGGATATTCGTAGCTATGGGTGTTTTGGAATCCCATAGCTAATTGTATGCGGTAGTTACCGGGATATATGAATGAATTATGATTTTCTACTATGCGAACATGTATGTTATTATGAGGTTATGAAATTGATAAGAGTAGGGAAATGAGACTTAAGTTGAGTTGTTGGTATTTTTATGTAAAAGTCAAAGGAAAATGTATAAAGGATGAATAAAATAAGCAAAAAATTTTAAGGGTAGAATTTGGGTCCTGACAATATGGTATCAGAGCATATTTAATCCTGCCGCCTAGGATATGGCCTTGCATGCTTCTTTGTGATCTTTGTGTGTTAAATTGTCTGAGTGTGCTAATTGCTAAGTGATTATGTGACCCTTGTTTAGACAAAAATTCGATTACTGACAAGTGAGTGAGTACAGGTACATGGCAGGAAGAGGAAGGGGGAGAGGAAGAGGGGCAAGTCAGAATGTCCTGAACGATTTGTTGGCGCAGATGGTGGCGGCATTGCAGCAAGTCAATGAGAACTTGCATAACCTGAACCAGAATCCGGCGCCAATTCCGAGTTCACACCCACTAGTTCCACCTGGACCAGCAGAAAACCGAGGGTTAGATGAGTTCTACATGAGGAACCCCAGTCAGTTCCATGGGGGATTTGCTCCTGATGCTGCCATCGAGTGGATCCAAAGGGTGGAGCGGATCTTCAGAGCCATGAACTGTTCGGAGGCTCAGAAATTGGCTTATGCCACTTATATGCTAGTGATGGAGGCCGAGAATTGGTGGGAGTTCACTCGACGCCAAATGGAGGCGGAGGGACAATTGATTTCCTGGGATACTTTCAAGGTGAAATTCCTCCATAAATATTTTCCTGCTGATCTGAGGAGGCAGAAAGAGATGGAGTTTCTAAGATTGGAGCAGGATGACCTGTCGGTGGGAGAATATGTGGCCAAGTTTGAAGAATTGGCCTGATTTTTCCCTTACTCAGAATTAGAGGTGGACGGAAGGTCCAAGTGTTCGAAGTTTGAATAGGGTTTGAAACCCAAGCTGAAGACGATGCTTATGCATCAAGAGATATCTGACTTTGCTACCTTAGTCAACAAGTGTAGAATGGTTGAGGACGATATGAAGGCGGATGAAGTGATGGTGCCAAAACCACTTCCTCCGAAACACTCTGGACCTCAAAGGAACTTCTCGCACGAAAAAGGGAAGAGCCAAAACCACTTCGTCCGACGGGTAGCCGGGGTTATACTTCGCATGGGCCGAGGACTCATGCCAATGTCGGGGGTCACGGTTGAACTCTCCATTTTTGTGCGGCAAATGTGGCCGAACTCATGTCGGTGACTCGTGCCCTAGAATGGCACTTACCTGTTTTCACTGCAAGGAGGTTGGGCATATCCGAAGACATTGTCCTAAGCTACCGTAGAGTGTGAATGAGGTGAGGGTTTTACCACTGGCAGAGTGTTCACCATGAGTGGTGTAGAGGCATCGGGCGTAGATGGCCTGATAAAAGGTAATTGCATGGTGGCAGATATTCCTCTTTTAGTGTTGTTTGATTCGAGAGCGACACACTCCTTTGTATCTATTGAATGCGTGGATAGACTGAAATTGCAAACTGAGTCGTTGCCTTTCGACTTGGTCGTATTCACCGCAATTGATGTGCATGTGGTGGTGTCGACAGTTGTGTCTCGATGTTCGGTAGTGGTAAACTGTAGGACATTAACCGTGGATTTAATCTGCTTACCAGTATCCCAGTTAGATCTAATTATGGGAATGGACTGGTTGTCGGCAAATCATGTGGTGCTTAATTGTGATGATAAGACCGTGGTATTCGGGAATCTTGATGAGATTTCTGACGAGGTTAGTAACATGAAGCCATTATCGGCAAAGGAAGTCAGGACTTCCTGTAAGGAGGGAGGAGCCGTGTTTATGTTGTTGGCATCCCAGGAGGGTATTGAGAAACCCAAGGTTGAGGAAATTCCGATAGTTCGTGAGTTTCCTGAGGTATTTCCTGGTGATCTTCCGGAATTGCCTCCAGTGAGAGAAGTTGAATTCTTTATTGATTTGGTACCTGGAACGGGACCCATCTCTATAGCTCCTTATAGGATGGCACCGTTAGAATTGGTTGAGTTGAAAAAGCAGGTTGAGGACTTACTGGCAAAGAATTTTATTCGTCCTAGTGTCTCGCCGTGGGGCGCACCTGTTTTGTTGGTTAAGAAGAAAGATGGTAGTATGCGGTTGTGTACCGACTACCGGCAACTGAACAAGGTTACTATTAAGAACAAGTATTTGTTGCCTCGGATTGATGACTTGATGGATCAGTTGATCTTCGGTCAGGATACCACCA